CTGAGGGCTGTGGTTAAATTTCCGGCAGCCCCGGGTAACTACCAAAGCCCTCACCGGCACCGTTCCGCTCAGCCCCAAAGGTCAAAGAAGAACAGAGAGGCAAAGATAACAGTGCACCAACCAAAGAAAACCGCCAGGGCCCCGAGCCAATGGCTGGTGCGGCACCAGCTCTGCAATGTTGTGGGGAAGGCGTCTGAGCTAGCCAGACTGGGGAACGGTGTCAGAAGGCCAGAGGTTAGCGGGCCAGACCGCACGGAGCCCACCAGGCCATGAGAAAAACCCTGGACCTTCCTGCTGGTGGAACAGATACCTCTGGAAGGTTTAGACCTGCCTTGTGAGATAGGTCGTCACCACTGGATTTCTACAAAAATTAATCAAAGTAGTACGTCTATCACAGATTAAAGGCACTCAGAGTACTTAATAAGGTCCAGGAGACCCTGATCACGTGCCCCACCCACCCTACCAGCCACACCTTCTTCCTCACCTCCTCCTGCCCCAGGACCCTGGGGCCACAGTTTATCTGCTCCCCTCATCTATAATGTTGTCCACAGAATCTGCCGCCACCCCCCCAACACACACACACCCAGTATTGACTCTCTGAAGCGATGGTGCCCTCTCGTCTTCCCATTTCAGCTACACACCACCTCCCTAGAGCTCCTTCTCAGACACCTGATCTAAAGTCAGCTTTCTGCACCTCTCACAGCACCCCAGTGGTCTCCTTCACAGTGCTTATAACATACACTTCCTTGCTTAATGTCTACATTTCCCCCTCGACCGAGGGTCTCGAGAGAGGAGAAAACATGTCTGTTTTGTTTACAACTATCAAATCTAGGATTTGATAAATATTTGATGAATGAACATAAAAAATTATATATTTATAATCCAAACGCAAAAGTTGGTTCTTTGAAAAGATTGACTAAATTGACAAACTTTTTCCTATTTTCCTCTCTCTTCTGGCTTAAAAAAAGGGGGGGGACTTAAATGACTAAAATAAGACACAAAAGAAGGGAAAACACCACTGACCTCCACAATAAGAAGGATTATAGGGGAATATATGAAGAACTGTATGCCAACAGATGAGATAAATGAAACAGACAAATTACTAAAAGAGAGGTTACCACAAGTGTCAAAACCAAAAATAAAAAATTAGCAGACCTATACAAGCAAAGAGATTAAATTCATAACTAAAAAGCTTCTCGTGAAGAAAAGCCCAGGCCATAGGGCTTCCCTGGTAAATCAAACAAAGAAAAACAAAGAAAAAATAAATGCCAATATGTCACAAACTTCCAAAAATCAAAAGAAGATGGGACACTTCCCAACTTATTCTGAGACCAATATTACCCTGATACCAAAATCAGACAAAGATAGCACAAGCAAGCTACAGACTGTGTCCCTTAGGAATACAGATGTGGAAATCTTAAACAAAATACTTGCGAACAATTTTTTATTTATTTTTATAAAATCCAAAAATACATACATAAAAGGATCTGCATATGATCCTTTTGAATCCATCAACATATAAAAATAATCACACACCGTGACCAAGAGGGATTCAGTCCAAGAACCAAGGTTGGTTTAACATCCAAAAATCAATTAACATAATACACTACATTAATATGATGAAAGATAACAATCACATAATCACCACTATAGATGCAGGAAAAGGATTTCACGAAATCCAACACCTCCTCATTGTAAAACACTCAACAAACTAGGAACAAAAGGAACTTCCTCAACCTGGTAATGGTTATCGTAAGCTCACAGCCAACGTCATACTTTATGGTAGAAGACTGAATGCTTTCTCCCTACAATAAGGAACAAGATGAGGATGTCCACTCTTACCATTCTTATTCAACACTGAACTAAAAATTCTAACCAAGGCAATTAGGCAAGAAAATGAAATAAAAGTGATCCAAAGTCGAAAGGAAGAAAGTAAAACTATATCCATTTGTAGATGATACGATTTTGTACTCAGAAAACCCTAAAGAATTCACTGAAAAACTCTTAGAACAAATAAACAAATTTAGCAAGGTTACAGGATACAAGATCATCAAATAAAAACCACTTGTGCGTCCATACATTCGTAATGATAAATTCCAAAGTGACATAAAGGAAACAATTCCATTTACAATAGTGTCAAAAAGTATAAAATGCTAAGGTGTAAATTTTTTTTTAAAAAGTGTAAAACTTAAGAGACTAGAAACTATAAAATAATATTGTTGAAAAAAATTTAAAGAAGGGGTGCCTGGGTGGTGCAGTGGGTTAAGTCTCCAACTCTCAGTTTCTCTTCCTCTCCCTTTGCCCCTGCCACTTGTGTGCTCTCTCTCTCTCTCTAAAATAAATAAATCTTAAAAAGAAAAAAAGAAAAGAATTAAAGAAGATCTAGGGAGGAGCGCCTTGGTGGCTTAGTCACTTAAGTGTCCAACTCTTGATTTCGGCTCAGGGCATGATCTCAGGGTCCTGAGACTGAGCCACATCATGCTCTGCACTCAGCAGCGAGTCTGCCTGGGATCTCTCCCTCTTCCCCTGCACTCACACGTGGACGCTCTCTTTCTTAAGTAAATAAATCTTAAAAAAAAATATGATGATGATCTAGGTACACGGAGAGACATCTCGTATTCATGGATCAAAAGACTTAATACTGGCAATATTCCCCAATATAGTCCCTGTCAAAATCCTAATTTCCATAATAAAGACAGTGAGGTACTGACCTAAGAATAGACGGAACTCACATAAGGATTATTGGAACAGAATTCAGAATACAAATTATCCTTGTATTTTATGGTCAAATGATTTCAACAGCAGTCCCAAGGAAATTACATGGAAAGAGAAGAGTCTTCAACAAATGGTGTTGAAAAAACTGGATATTTATCTGTGAAAGAAGGAATCTGGATTCATACCTAACAGCACACACAAAAATTACTTTAGACTACAGACCTATATGTAACAGTAAAACTGTAAAACTCCTAGAAGAACACACAGGAGTCGATCTTTATGAAATTAGGTCAGCAAAGTCTTCTTTGATACAATACCAAAAAGCACAAACAACAAAAGAAAAACAGATAAGCTGGATTTCTCAAAAATGTTTGAACTTCACTTTCCATGAAGAAAGTGACTGCGTCTACAGAACAGAAGAGTATACTGGCAAATCATGTATCTAATTACAGACTGGTATCCAGATCTTATAAAGACATCTCATAACCCAGTAATAAAAGCACAACTAAGCCAATTTAAAAACGGGCAAAGCAAATGAATAAACATTTCTCCAGAGAAGATATACAGACGCCCAATAAGGACATAAAGAGACACTCAACATCACTAGTCATCAGGGAAATCCAAATCAAAATCATATAATGCTTCACACCTCCTAGAATGGATGAAAATAGAAAGACCATAACTGGTGCTGGCAAAGATGTGAAGAAACTGGAATCCTCATCCACTGCTGGTGCAAATATGCAGCTGGTCTGGAAAACAGTCTGGTGATTCCTCAAAAAGATTTATGCAGAACTCCCATTATAACCTAGCATCTCTACTCCCAGGTATAACCCAAGAGAAATGAAAACAGACGTCTACACAAAAACTTGCACAGAAATGTTCAGAGCAGCATTACTCGCAATAACCAAAAAGTAGAAACAATCCAAATGTCCATCAACTGATCAGCAGATCAACAAAATGTGGTATATCCAGTCAAAAGAATATTATTCAACCATGAAAAAGAATGATATGTACTGAAGTGTGGATAAACCTTGAAAACATTGTGCCAAGTGAAATAAGCTAGTTACAAAAGACCCCACTTTATACGATTCCCTTTTCAGGAAATGCCCAGAATGGGCAAACTGGCAGGCAAAGAAGGTAGAGTAGTGGTTGCCAGGTGTGGGGAGGGACAGAAGAATGAAGTATGACTGCTCAGTGTGTATGGGGCTTCCTTCTGAAAGGACGGAGATGTTCTAAAATTAGCTTGTGACGAATGGTTGCACATTCCTGTGAATATACTAGAAAAAGTTGAACTGTATATTTTAAATGGGTGAGGTGTACAGTATGTGAATTATACCTCAATAAGCTGTTAAAAAAAAAACCAAACAGGTAATACAGTGATATACGATATATCACAGATGGTCCGTGACTTACAATGGTTCAACTTACGATTTTTCAGTTTTACGATGGTGCGAAAGCAATACAGATTCCATAGAAATCACAGGTCAGATTTTTAATTTTGACCTTTTCCTGGACTAGGGGCAGCATGCAGGATGATCTCTCACAACGCTGGGCAGGAGCTGGAGTCCCAGGTCTGAGGGCAGCGATGAGATCATGGAGGTGAATAACCAATACACTAGTAACCATTCTGCACCCACACAGCCATTACGTGTTTCCCTTTTAGTACAGCATTCAGTACACTGCATGAGATCCTCAACACTTTATCATCAAATACACTTTGTGTCAGATGATCTTGCCCAACTGTACAGTGTCCTGAGCATGCTGAAGGTCGGCTGGGCTGAGTGGTAATGGTTTGTAGGTTAGGTGTATTACACGTGTTTTCCACTTACCAGACTTTCAACATACGATGGCTTTATCAGGAGGTAAACCCATAGTCAGTTGAGGAATATCTGTAGTATGTGAGGTGCTTCCCATTATATTTATATAATGACATTTTCCCTCCCTAAATGTTTATTTGTTGTGCTGTGAAAACAGGGTTAAGATATAAAAGAGAGGAAGGCAGAGCAAAGATTTAACTTTTGGGGTCTTGTAGCTAAGCATCAGAGCCCTCCCAGAATAAAATATTCCCATGAACTGAGTATGTGTAAAGGAATTTCTGTGTAGTTCAGAGTGACATCAAATTATGGTGCATACATCCTTTATAAGGTTTAATCATCTGAAAACTTTCCAACTGTCAAATGCAAAACTGGCCACTCCTTTGGAGCAAAACCACTGTTCCCAGGGCGAGCAAGTCCCCCAATGCACTAAGAAGAGATGGACTCAAGAGGCAGAAATCACATACTTACATCCCTTAAGACCGGAAGTGCCAAGTGCTCGAAGGAAGTCAGATCCACCACGTACTGCCCAACCCGGCATTCACATTTTCTGGCTGGAGGCTCTGACCTGAATGAAAAGACAGGGCATTCTCTGCTGGAAGACGCCCCCATGCTGATTTCTGGTTTGTAGCCACTCCAGTGAGCCTCTGGCCCTCCACGTAGGCTCACTCACCCTTAAAAATCACTCCGGTACGCAAAGCTAACCGGATGCCTGACAACAGGGCTACCAACAGGAGTGCGTACCTCCACCTCCACCACCAGGCCTGGCAGGGACCTTGGGGGGCAATCCTGAAGCCGCAGGGGGGTCGCGCCACAGAAAAGCGGCACACAGGAAACAGGACTACGAATTACAAAATGCTAAACACTTATTACTTGGCGGAATGAGTTTTAAGTGACATATGCTATTTTTATACTTTATTTTTCATGTGATGGTTTCAATCTCTGTTTTCTTTCTCTGAGAAATCCATAAAGGCCCCAGATTCTTCAAGGTAGAAGGGATCGTTTGGCTTAACCTTGTACCCAGGGGGAATAAAATACCACAGAACAGAAATACCAGTACCCAATTCTGGACAAAACTCCCCGCAGGCCAGATAACGTGACAACATCGAATCCTATTCTTCTCCCTCCCTGTCTGACTTCTTCTGTGTAAAATCCATCCACAGGCACACCGGAGGATTTTAACACTTCACTGGCCTTCTGGATCAGCGTTGTTTTTCCAACTCCTAAAAAAAAAAAAAAAAGAAAAAGAAAACAAAACAAAAGCCCATTAGGAACCACTCCTTTGCCAGAGGACACACAGCACTCACCCACTCTGAGAGACTTCATGGCGGGGAGTGAAACGGGCTGCACCTGAGTTTTAGGAGTATTAACTGCACTTCAATTCTGATTGCTCCAGGGTGTTAAAACTTTTTAATTTCAAGCATAATAAAAATATGAATGGGATCTTAAAGTCTGATTTTAAAATTCCTCCGAGACACCATTAATTTTGTCACATATACAATACCAGGACCAACTGAGTAGCTCTGTGATGACAGGAGCAATTTGCATCCTCTGAGACAAGCTTCTAGAACTAGGTTTACTTGCCTCTGTGGGTAGCCACACTCTTTCACGAGGAGGTAAACCTGGTCATACTTGGGTCAAATGCTGGGCACCTTAAGTTGGGATTTCAACCTTCGGAACACTCTGGACCTATATTTATTTATTTATTTATTTTGAAAGATTTTATTTATTTGACAGACAGAGATCACAAGTAGGCAGAGAGGCAGGCAGAGAGAGAGGAAGGGAAGCAGGCTCCCTGCTGAGCAGAGAGCCCGATGTGGGACTCGATCCCAGGACCCTGAGATCATGACCTGAGCCGAAGGCAGAGGCTTTAACCCACTGAGCCACCCAGGCGCCCCTGGACCTATATTTAATTGTGGGAAGATCCCTACACTCCTCCATGGACTTAAATGACTCTGTCTCCCAAAAAAGTGTCTCTTAAATACCACAAACCCCACTAGAAACAGCAGTTTTAAACTTTCTCACAAGAGCAATCCTAACAGGTTGGCAACCCCTTCTCTGACCTCCTCCAGCGTCCCTAAGCATTCCCCTAGCCTGCCCCAACCCTTCCCCAAATTACAGCTTCTGCACCTTCACCCCCCCACCCACCTGGCCTGTTAACTACTCTGACTGGCTCTTGCTATGTGTTCACAAGCACCAACACGTGTGAGCTGACAAAGTAACCCGTCCCTGTGGAGCCAGAGACTGTTCTAGCACACTCCACAAGCATTTCCTTGGTTAAATCCTCACAACTCCCCCTCTCAGGCAGTCACCGTTCTTGATCCTGGATTACAGATGAGGCACAGAGAGGCTAGGTAACTTATCCAGGCTTACACAACTAGTAAGGATCATGCACGTTAATAGGGGCCTTGGTGTGTCCCCATGACTTTGTTTCTATGAGCCTTGTTCCACACACACCGAAGGCAATGGCATCGTGATGACCCAACACGGAAAAAGGGGAAACCTCTGGCAAGTCTGCAAGAGACTGTTTCGAGATACCACAAAGTTGTAAATCATGTTATTTCTAAGGATGCCGCCACAGTCATCAGGGTTCTTCAAGGACCCTTTTAAGCTTCCTTGAGATAAACGATGATCAGTTCTTTAATAAATCTCTCCTCTCAACTTCACACCAGCAGACAATGGCGGCTGGCCTTCTGGAACATGAACTGCAACCCAGCCACATGCTCCCTGGGGTTGGAAGAGAATGGTGTAGGTTTTTCATCCCAGCTCCGTCCCCCAGTAACTGCTGCCTTCAGAAAGTCCCTGAAGAACCTGGTTAATGCCGGCCAGTGGCACTGGTGGGTATGTAAGCTCATACTTTTCCGAAGGGCAGCTTCAATACGCCTTCCACAGCACACAGCAATTCTATCGCTGTGAATTCCCTCCACAAAAATCTGACCGAAGCCCAAAGATATATGAAACGGTATTTACGTCAGTATTCACTGTAATGGCAAGATACAGAAAGCAATCTATATGCTGATCAGTAAGGGAGTGTTAAATTATGGTACTACGTGCATAAAACACGCAGGAAAGCCAAGCAGCCATTAAAGAGAACACTGTTAACCTAGATGTATCAGCACAGAAAGCAGACCACAATATGTGGACAGATGGAGAAAGAGTAGGTTAAGACACAGCAGGCATATACAGTGGTATTCCATTAAGCTTAAAAAAAAAAAGTAAAGTATATGTATCTACACAAGGAAATGTCGAGAAGGAATTGGGAAGGATCACAGCACTTATTTCTGTACATAGCAATTCCATGTGATTGTCACGTTCTTCTGTCAAACTTTGACTTTTTTTTTGGTCTTATATTAAGTGGATTTTACTCTAAATGTAAAAAAAAAAAAAAAAGTTACTGCATTTTGAAGGTGGTAACGCAGAGCAGCTGTAATAAAGGGGGCTCTGCGTGTCCTGCATATTGGCTAGGACACGGGGAAGTAAGAGGAGGCACTGGCTCAAGACCCTTCCTCCTAAGCTCTAGAATCTTCTTTCAGTTAATTTTTCATCTCCATCCATTCAGCCGTTACCCTCACGCTGTCTACACTAAGAGGTAACCGATGCTGAAGGAAACCCCAAAATGACAGCTCCACACACCACACAGAGGCAAGACGAGCAGGTTGGACAGCTCTAGAACCCTTTTGGCTCTAGTTCTCTCATAAGAGTTACCGTGAGATAAAGATTCAACTGCAGGTAGTTTAATTTGGAAAGTGACCCCATGACACTAAGGGAAGTAACTGCGTTATCAAGCGAGTTGCCCGTGTGGGTAGCTAATCCCACTGGGGAATCCTAAGGGACAGTTTTAGATGCAGGACTCAGTTCTCCCAAGGGTGGAGGAAATAGGGAGTTCCGCCACCAACTTCCATCTGTCATGGGTTCGAGGCTGCTCCTAGGGGACAGGAATTCCCTGGCCCTTCAGACCTGCCCTGTGCACTGGTATAGTAGAATCTAGTGACCAGAGAAAGCCCTCCAAGATCGGTCACAAGTTGGACAGCTGGAAGTTGGGGAAAAATGCTAAGTGCTAAGGATACACTGGTGGGACACCGACAACATAGAGAAAAGAGGCCACTTTGAGAAGATACATTACCTGATGATCTGAGTGTACAGATTCGATTTAGACAGCAGGCAGAGGCTGAGACGGAGCTGGTGATAGAAACTATTTTAAAATGCCTGACAGTGGGGCACCTGGGTGGCTCAGTGGGTTAAAGCCTCTGCCTTCGGCTCAGGTCATGATCCCAGGGTCCTGGGATCGAGTCCCACATTGGGCTCTCTGCTCAGCAGGGAGCCTGCTTCCCTTCCTCTCTCTGCCTGCCTCTCTGCCTGCTTGTGATCTCTGTCAAATAAATACATAAATAAAAATCTTTTTAAAAAAGCCTGACAGTAACTCCAAAGGGGAAAAAAAGTTGTACATAAAGGGAAAAGAAAACTACAGATTACTGACCACGTGGCTTTTCTGGGATTAGCTTTTACATGTACTGGGCTAATAAAGATTACAAAATAACTGCACTAGGAAGATGGAGAGGGTGACCAGGTTTTAACACAGGGTCAGGAGAGCTATACTGTGGAATTACTTGAGTCTTTCAACTGTGTGCACATGAGACTTTTATAAAAAAGGAAAGAGGAAGAGCCAACGTTGCCCTGGCCAACCTCTGTCCCCAGCCACTTGCAGGACCCAGGGCAGGTACTAACACAGTAACAGATCACTTCTGTTATGAAACACGTAGGTGTCTTGGGGCCAGCCTGCTGAGCAAATGGTATTCCCAGTTTATCAAATAAAGGACCGACAAATCAGTCGAAAGACAGTCCTTTGCCAGGTCAGGGAGTCCTCTGGATGTCAGCCATTCCTCCAACCACCACCGCACTCCTCACGGCTTCCCCTCCGCTTGGTAACAATAAAATTCCGAAGTCTACGATATTATTAAGTGTGGCCTTTCCTGCTTAAGGCAAAACATAACCATTAAAATAAAGTGAAAGACAATTCCAGGCCCGGAATGACCTCCTCCTCCAAGCTCCTCTGCGGGAACACGATGCCATCCACTCGCAGGCCCGCAGGGTTGAGGGCCTTGTCAAAGACTGGCATCAGGAGGGCCGGGCAGGGACACAGGATCTGAGACGGGCTTCTCACCCTGCAGCCTCGCCCCTGCAGGAGCCTGGGTGGGGGCAGGTCTCCTCTTCGGGTTCACTATCCTTCAGGCGAACACCCGCGCTTCCCTCCCTGAGTGGGGGCCAGACCCCCAGCACCTGCGGCGCGCACGGGCGATACCGACAGAGACCGACGGCGTCCTGTCAGTCCCGGCGCGGCAGGCGGCCTGAAACACCGCTCGCGCCCACCAAGTTCGGTGCCACTGAGCGACCCTGCCCCGCTCTTCCACACGGTCACGGAGAAGCCCGCCCGCCACCCAACCGCAACTTTCTTCTTAACCAGCGTCCGCCTCGCTTCTAATCCGATCTTCCGTACTTAAAATCGCGCTTTCAGGGAAGCAGCACGCAGGCTTCCGCTCACAGAGCCTGTTATTTCGGTCGGGAGCTTCAGCGGCCGCAGCCAGAGCCCTGCAGCCTGCCGCGCCTCCCCGAGAGCACGGGTCTCCCCCACCCCGCGCGCCCCCAGTGCCTACCCCCGCGGTCCCCCGGAAGCGGACTCCTGGGCGGGGTTACCTGGGGGCCCCGTCAGGAACACGTGCCGGGCCATACCGGTGGGCCCGCGTGGGGGTCGCGACCTACGTCGGGGTCGCGGCCTGGGTTCCGCCCCCCAGCGGAACCCAGGCCCCGCCTCCGCCGGCCGGAAGCCTCGCCTTCGCGACTGCGCATGCGCCTCAAGGTCCCGCTTCGGTCCGCTCCTGTACCTCCGCCGGGCTCATCCTTCGCGCATGCGCTTTCGGTTCTCGGTCTCGGCGCGCGCCGATGTATGTCCCTAGAAGGGTCGGGAGATTGGTGATCAAGTTCTCTCCGGGTTCGTGGGTTTGAGCCTCAATGCGGGGTGTTTCCAAGGAGACGTGCGCGAGAATGTCTATCACTAAGCCGGTGCTGCGGCACCTGAGCGCGGTCCCTTGCCGCTGACCTCCAGACCTGCGAGCTGAAATTCCCCCAGGCTGCGGGGAAAGCCCTTCTACAAGTTTGGTCTCAGGACCCTTCTTTCAAAGGGAAGAGGCTTTTACCCATTCGAATCTGCCCAGCGCTGTCAACCACAGCTGCCAGTAGAATTGCCCGATTAAACGTGCTTGATGCCTGGGCTCTAACATACCTAAAATTCGGAGTGTTTGATCTCGGGTGTGGCCTGAGTATCTGGGTCTTTTTTGTTGTTTCGAACTCCCCAGCAATTTCTCAAGTCCAGTGGGGTTGAGAACCACTTGATCAGGCAGACTTCCCAACCTCAGTCGTGCATATGAACACCAGAAATTGGTCTTTCTTACCTCTGTACCTTAAGTGGAAACCAACGCAAGACCCAGCTGGAGGGTCTCATTGTACAAAGAATTAAGTGGCTTTCCCCCACTCACTTAACCACTTGAAGTGTTTCAGCCGGAGAAATGAAGTGGCAATGGCCTTGGGCCAAATTTACCTGTAAACTCTTTCAGCCTGACACGTGTACGATTTGACTTGTGATCAATCATTCTCCATCCTGGCCGAGAAAGCAATTTCACTGAGTGCTCAACTTAATTGGTTTGTGCCCACACCGGCCCTCCAGGGCTCCCCTTAGTCTGCTATATACATCAGTCAGATGGTCTCAGTTTCTTAGCTATTTAAAAAGTAATCATCTAAAAAATAAGAATTGTACTGTGTAGCTCTTACCATCATTTTGGCAACATTTATAAAGCTGCATCACTCATAATGTAGGGCCTTTCACCTACATTTATCTTTAACCTATGCAAACTGGAATCATGAGCAGCTGATGTAGCCAAGTAAACCCATAGTAGTAGTTTCCAAAAGAAAGGAAACATGTACACTGTCATAAATACACTCGTTTTTATATAAAAAAAAAAAATTCAACCAGAAACACTTAAACGTTAAATGCTAATTATGTAAAAATTTCCATCATTGGAAAACCATTTATAATTCACAAGGATTGCTAGGAGTTGGATTATTTGTCTTTTGATGTTGTACCTGGCATTCTGGTAACTAATAATGGGCATCAGTTTAGGTAGCTGAAGGAACATAGTTTCCAGATGTAGAGAATTGATGTCTTAGAGAACAAAAAGAATATTCTTCTGTAATTGGATGTGGGTTCTTTCCCACTAAAAACGACTTATTTGGGTGGTGATTACATGGTGTCTTAACTTCATGATAATCCATTGATTTGAGTCTTTTGATTTGTATAGTTTCCTCTATGTGTTATACATCAATAACATGAAATAATTTATATTAGAGAATAATTAGAAACATATTTCAGAAAAATAGGTGATTAAAGTATTGTGCTGAGTCTAACTTTTGCTTACAATTGAGCCATGGGATAATTACTTAAGGAACAGGTGATTTCAATTCTTTCTTCCTGCGGGACCTAGGAGTGGTCTCCCTTTTGGCAAGACGCAGTATAGTGCTTTATTAAAGCAGTTTGTAAGTACATGCTTAAATTTTCCATGATTTCAGAATCTTAAAAGTCCTAAAAACACAGGTGTTTTTGTTTGTTTATTTGTTTTCATAGCTCTGCTTTGCCAAGACTGTCTTAGTTTTAAAACTGTTTTTGGAACCCCTTCTGTCCTGGGCAAACCAGGATGGCTGGTTGTTCTACAGCTGAAGGACAGAGGAGCATTTAAGAAGCAAAACAAAGGGCTTTGTCAGAGTAAATGGTATAGATTGAATGTTTGTGTCCTCCCAAAATTTATATGTTGAAAATTAATATCCAAAGTGATGTTGTTAGGAGGTGGGGCCTTTGGGAAGCGATTAGGTCATGAAGGTGGAGGCCTTGTGAATGGGATTAGTACCCTTACAAGAGACCAGGGAGAGATACTTAGTCCCTTCCACTATAGTCCCTCCCTCAATCTCTTGAGGACCCTAGAGAAGTCTACTACCCAGAAGAGCGCCCCCACCCAATCATGGCACTCTAATCTCAGAAGTTCGGCCTCCAGAACTTTGAGAAGTATCTATTATTCATAAGTCATCCAGTCTGTGTTGTGTTATAGCAAAGGTAACAGACTAAGGCACTATGCAAGCTGTTTTCTTCTTTAAGAGTTCAGATGCTCTGAACATAGGATCCTATTCCGGAAGAACTTACCTTGTTAGTAAATAACTGAAAAGCCTATTTAACAGTCTGTAGGTAAAGCCTGCTCTGTTGGTACTCCCGGCCTTCTCACTATAGGGACCTGGGGACGGCTTTACACCCTCAACACCCGCTCTCCCTGCCCAGCATGACCGGATGTTTCCCCACATCACACACACACACCCTCACACCGGTGTCCAGGGGCCTCTCCCTCGCCTGGATACAGAACAAAGGTTCCGACGTGTAGTTTGTGGTGGGTCCTGAGCACAAGAAAACTGAGACCAGAACACAGATTACGGCTACCAGGGATGTGAAAAGAAGAAAGTGGTTAAATCAAAAGTGGTAACCGTGTTTTGCGCCCAGCATGTATTTCCCCATATGGAAATAGCACCTAGCCTCTTGGGACGGGGGCTTCTGCATGCCCAGTCCCCATGATTGAAGAGCTGATTTCCTTCCCTACCCTTTCCCACCCGGCGGGAGGGTGGGGTAGAGACACGTGACTCGGGCCTGGCCAATGAGAGCATTCCATCTTTCTCGTTCAGTGATTGGTTCCAGGAAACACATGATCCTAGCTAACCCAGAGGCACAGAAGCCTAAATCTTTTATCTGACCTGTTCCTCTTTCTTTTAACCGCGTCATTCCCTGGACCTCAGGATTGAGGACAGCCACCAGCCAGTGTGACTGAAGCAGAAGAACAAGGGGAGGTTTGGAGACCCCTCCTTCTCTCCCCAGTTCTCTCTTACCGTGCAAGACAGGATCAAATGTCCCTGCTCAGGGAAAGCTTTTCTGATTCACCTGGCCCCTCACCAGGGCTCCCTGAGCACCCCATGTCATGACACTACAAGGATCTGTTTACATACGCCTCTTCTCCTGCCACCTAAAAGGCAAGGTCCTGTGGGATCTTTTCTTATCCATCTCTTTTTATACACAACATGCCATATAGTACTTAGCACATTCCCCCACCCACTGAGTGCCAGGAACTGTTCTAGGTGCTGGGGGACACAGCAGTAAAGAAAACAGAGTCTGTCGTGGTGTAAGTCATTTTCTGGTGTGGAGAGACAAACAAATAGACAAGATATATAGACAGAAAGCCATGAGGTGGTAAGGGCATGGAAAAAATTTTTTTAAGAATTGGGGAATGCAAAAGGTGTGTGTGCATTTTACAGAGGGTGATCGAGGAAGATATCCCTAAGAAGATACTTCCTGAGCAGAGCTCTGAAGGAAGGGAGGCTTGTAGAAGAAGTCTGGGGGATGGCAGTTTAGAAAGACAGATCAGCATGTGCAAAGGTCCCGAGGCACGAGTGCTTAGCTGAAGAAGGGACAGCAAAAGCCAGTGTGGCTGGAGAAGACTGGGAGAGACAGGTCAGAGATGAAGTCCAAGTGGCAGCGGGGGCCCAGATCCTTCAGGCTTTACAGGCTTTGGTGAGGACTCTGGCTTTTACTGTAGCGAGTGGGAGAGCCACTGGAGGGTTTTGAACAGAGGAGTAGCATTATCTAAGTTATTTTTAGGAGAAGATCCTCAGACATCTGTGTGGAAAATAGACTGCAGATGGGCAGGGTGAAAGCAGGGAGACTGTCAGAAGGCTACTGTAACAATCCAGATGAGAGATGATCATGTGTTCACTGACCCATAAAATAGGTGCTTGGTAGATGGTTTATTTATTTTATTTTATTTTGCATAAGTGAGTGAATAAGAATGCCATTCCCACAGACAGCACCAGCCTGTCAAGGAAGGAGTAGAGCAATGGCAGAGGGGCAGGAGAGTCACATAGGCTTTCCCAGCCTTGCAGAGTTGTAATTGAGGTAACATTGACCAGTCATGCTCAGGTAGTAATATCCCTGTAGTCGTCACAAGATTTTGCTTGACCAAGTTGGACAGGGCACTCACATCCTACAAGGAATCCTACAAAGATTACCTTTCTAATACAGATGATGGGGTTGGTTAGTGTCCCTAAGTACTGGGACAGCAAAGCCCAACTAGAAAGCCCCAGTCACAGCTCTGTGGTACCCCATTAGGGTCAAACACATCCATCCACCTCTCTTTGCCAAGGTCACCTGAAATTACAGAGGTTGACTGGGGGAGGGAGTGCCAGTGCACTGGCTAGAAGAATTGCTCTGAGGAGCTCCCAGATGTAGTGTGGGGAGAAGCGGCAGTCCTACTTGTTGGACAAATAACCCCCCAAATTCCCTGTTCCCCAAACTCTATCCACAATGTATATAGTTTATATGAAATCACCTTAAGTGGACCCTAAGCCAGAAAGGAAAGGCGACCTCACTCCTACAACCTCAAAAACCTTAATTTTGCTGAAAATAAGGATAAGTTTGAGTGTGGATTTCCACCAGAGCCCCCAAATGAGAACTCACCCCAACACACACCTTCTGGGCAGAAAAACCAGCTACACTAGTGACTGGATTTTTGGCCTCCAGAGCTGTTAGCTTATAAAGGAATGGGATTGTAAATTGTTGAATTTGTGGTAATTTGTGACCCAGCAATGGAACCAGATAGACCATGTGAGCACTCACCTGTGTCCCCATCCTA